CCTGAACTCCCCTATTGGGCAAAGGATTATATCATCCAGAACTGTGTGTGTGTGTCTGGAAGAGGGAACAGGCAAATACAGCAAACACACACTATATAATTATAGCCAGCCAAGCCAGGAGCAGAGTGAAGAATGGTACCTGTCAGGAGAGGAGGAGACAAAAGAGAGAAGTGATAACAAGAGACTCAGAGAAAGATAGAGAGGAGGAGTGGAGAAACGATTGAGAGATTATGGATATATGAGGGAAGTCTAACCGAAATGAGAGAAGGTGGGAGGGAGTGATGAACAAAGACATGAGACGAAATGAAAGGGGAGAGGGAGAGGCAAGCAAACAAGATGAAACAAGTGACAGGAAGAGCAAGAGAGGGGGAGGAAGAAAGAGATGGACAGATGAACCGAGGGGGAGGAGGGACAGAGGCAAATAGACATCTGCCACCCCACAGGCAATACAAGGCGGTGGTCCTCCTTGAAGTAAGGTAGACTAAGAGTGTCTGTGTGGGTTTTAACTGTGTGGAGGTGAGTGAATAAGTACGTGCCTGTAATTGTAAAAGGAAAGTGACACAGAACGTGAGGTAACACAGGATGACAGAACACACACAAATACACAGAAAACCTGTCTTCGCACTGACAAGCTCATGGTGCGACACATGTAGCTGAGCCAGAAAGGGGAGGAAACAGAGACAGGAGTGTAAGGATTACGCTGAAGATTAGATTGATAAAGCAAAAATGGCAAAAACTATCTCCAGTTTCTCAACTGAGAGACATTTTCTGGGTTTTCTTAGTCTTCTATCAAGGTAAATGTTAGGAACCGAGATGAGGCTGCATCTTCTTGTCAGCACTGCTTCTTTCATGCCACTGTCCGGGTTCAAGAGTTTAGTTACTTTGATATATTATTAAGAATGACATTATGTCTTTCATCGAAGTACCCTGTTCTGATTTGAGCATCTTATTTCATCCTTTCAGACTCTGCGTAAATTTAGCCAGCTAGCATCTGTGGCCAGTCAGTGCACTGCTGGGCTTTACCTCCTGTCTAGTCATGAACAAGAACTGTTGCCTCTACTTTTTCTCTGATGTGAAATTTTGGTGTTTTCTATTTTTTGATGCCGTGTTCTGCAGAGGTGGGGGCTCGAGTCAGACTTAAGTCTCACATGTGAGCACTTGCGTGACTAACACTGGAAAAAACTTGGTATTCATGACTTGAGACTTGATTTGGACTTCACTTCAAATTACTTCACTTTTTTAAATTAAATATTTGCTTTTTTTTTCTAGATAGAAAAGTTGGGTTTTGTTTTTGAAACAAGTGGGTTATTTCTAGTGCAATGTCGCAAACCTGGAAGACCAGCAGAGGGCAACGCAGGTCGCAGGATGCAGCTATTATAGAGGGGCCTAGTCCAAAGATAAAAAATTGAATTCAAGGACTATTTTGTTGTGACAGCAGTAAGAAGAGAACAGTGGTATACGAGGTTTTCAGTGTAATACTCAGCAACATGACCACCACAACATCCAGATTCATCCGTCACTACAAAACTCCCAAAGAAAGGTAAGTAGGTGAATCTATACGTTAGCTAACTTATTGGCTGGTCACATGTTAGAAAGTTAATGTTAAATTTAAGCCATGGCTTCTGTGACATTGTTTTAGAGATACTGAGATAAGATGGAAGAACTCATCGTGATAATACTTGCACAGTATCAGGCCCTCTCTATTCTGCATCTCAGCATGTGTCTCTTTTGTGGTTCACATGTACTCAACAGCCCTCTGCACACACACAGTAGATCCTAAACAATGCTTGACTTAATGTCCTAACTACCCTGATTCAGATCAATAACTTCTCTGTCAATACAGTTTTACATTTAAAGCTAAAAACAGACAACCTTTCACATCCATTGACTACATTCCATTTGCTTTCTCATCCCACATTCTGCCAGCTGCACACAACCCTGTGTCTGAATGGTTTTACTGTAGCCAGCAGTGTGATAACCATCCACTGTCACTGATCACAATCACAAGGCTGCTGCCTGATCAATGAGAGATGTTTGATCTGATCTCAAGCTTTCTCAACATTCTAATGCTGAGGAAATCTGAAGAGATGAGGATAGTTCTAACCCCCTTTATAAGACTAAATGAAGTGCATGAATTCAGGTAGATCTGGAGAATTATCACCGGGTGCTCAGCAAGCAGTGTAATGATCATACTCAGCTGCTCATCTGAAATCAATATCAAGCTATAAAACAGTTAGGCTTATGAAATACATTCTGACTAATCTCGCAGTCTCTCAAACTGCTTTTGTAGTCATTTGGTATTAAATCGGAGCCAATGAGCCTGCAAGTCTTGGCAGTTTTGTAAATTTAAAGACCTGCAAAAAGATCTTGATTTGTATTTCAGGTCACGACACCCATTGCTAAAAACCAAGAAAGTAGAATTAATAAGCTTAAGAAATAAGCAATCATTTTAATGCAAAGCACTTTTATGTAAATGCTATGACGATGATTAAACATTATCATCAAGCCCGATCTTTCTCTCACAGCTTCACAGACGGAGCTTTGCAGTGCTGTAGGTCCATGTGCATGTGGGAGGTCAGAGTTAATGTGTATATACCTTGGCTGCTCTGCTTACTGCCAGTGCTGTGTGGTATGTCTACTTTGTATCTGTATCTGACAAGCACACTCCTTTTCCCTTATCGACAAGCCAACAGTGTGAGAAACTCAGCCATTGTCAAGCTAACAGGATACAACAGAGAGCATAGCAGGGCCTGTAGGCACATTAAGCCAACATTGGCTTGTGCAGTGAAGCCCGCCAAGTCTTAATTGAATAGATAGAGAGCACGGGGGAAGTTGGTGGAGAGAAATTGATGAGGAAAACAGAGAGGGGGAAAGAAAATTACAGAGAAGGAACCCAAGAAGGAAAATTGAGAGACAGAAAGAGAATTAAAAAAAAGAGAGAAGAAGAATGTAGAGTAATGGGGAACCCATGGGAGCATGTCTGCAATGAGAGAAAGCAAAATAAGAAAAGATGGCTGGGGAATACATGTGTGTAAAGCAGCAACAGAAAGGTGTAAAAGCAAAGTGAAAGGACAGCTTGATAAAAGAACGTAAACAAAAGAACAAAATAATCACAGAATGAGAGTGAATGCACTGAAAGAGGGATGAATCCATTACTAAACTGAGTTGGTAAATAATGAAGGAGAAAAATGAAGGAATTAATGAAAGATAATGAAAAACACAAAGCCAGGCAGGAGATGAATTTAGTATGAGAGTGAAAATGTTGACTGCAGAACTGGCAACAGAGCTCCCTCTCCATGATTATGATTAATGTGCCCTTCAAACAAATCACCCAAAACTGGTTCACCAGTTTCTATCCAAATTAGTATCAAGTAGATAATAAACATAACAAAACTCAGTAGCATTGATGAATAAAACTGTCCTGCTAAAACAAACACTGAAATTAAGTTTAAACTATGTGACAGGATAAAAAAAGGCACTATTTGCCAGGTTAGGGTGAAAATGTCTGCAACCCCAAATCAGAAAAAGTTGGGACAGCAGCACATGTAGCTCCAAAATCTCTATGTACTTTCCAGCATTAATGGAGCCATCAAGTCTAAGTGACCTTTGCCAAGGGTGCTGACCAACCCCAGACTTTGACAGACCCTGGCTTTTGGACTTGTTGCTGGTCTGGGGGGTCCTCTTTGTCTGTGGTCCGGAGCACACAACGTCCATTCCTTTTAAAAAAGACCTGAAAGACTGATTCGTCTGACCACAGTACAGGTTTCCACTGTGTGATGGTCCGTCCCAGATGCCTCTGAGCCCAGAGCAGTAATCTCTTGACATAGAGCTTCCTTTTGACACTGTAGAGTTTTAAGCAGCATTTATGGATGTAACTACATATTGTAGTGCCTGACACAGGTGTGCCAAAGTAATCCTGAGCCCATGTGGCTTATAGAAGAGTGATGATTCTTGATGCAGTGTCGTCTGAGGAATCAGACACCATGGTCATCCAGCTTAGGGCTGTGCCCTTTACACACTGAAATCCCTCCAGAGTCCTTCTTTTAATGATGTTCTGCACCACAGAGGGCAACATATCCAAATCCCTTCCTATCTTTCTTTGAGGAACATTGTTTTTAAACATTTCAATCATTTTCTCACATATATGTTGGCACGCAAACTGGCGGTCCTCGGCCTCCTAAAGGGCTTGGACTTTCCTGGATGCCTCTTTTGTACCAAACCATGATGCAGTCACCTGTTTCAAATGGAATCATCATTTCATTGTTTTACCTCATTACTGGCCTTGAAATGCAACCGTCCCAACTTTTTTTGGAATATGTTACAGGCATCACACGTGAGTTTGAACAAAGAATAAAACTGATGAGGTATCACATCAAGTAATGTGCTGCTGTGTTGTTTTCAATGTAATACAGACACAGATGATTAACAAATCACTATTTTCAGTTTTAATCTTGATTTTACATTCCGTCCCAACTTTTTCTGATTTGGGGTTGTAGTTAAGGAAATGGTCCTTACTAAACTGTAAGGAAGCCAGGGAAGGAAGTAAATCCAGACAGCACAGAACAGTGGACGTACCAAACTTAATCTGGGACTGACTGGCTCAGTCCAGCAACGGCAGAAGGTGTGAAAGATGCCAGCACAGAAATATCAAACACATGGCAAAGTTATCCTTGTATTTTCTGCAGAACATTCCTCTCATCTCGTCTCAGACATAATGTATGAAGGAAGTGATCAAAGGGAAGCTTCCTGTGCATGTTATCACTTAAGGCACAGAGCTGTTCTGTGTTATTGGATAAAATTGTGGACTATTTTAAGCGCTGCTCTTAAATCAAGGCGCTTTGAGTATATTCTCATCTGCCAAGTCAAATTACAATTTTCTGGCATCAATAAGTGCCAGAATAGTGATGAGGAGTCACAGCACCGTCATCAGAAACCTGCAGGAGACAGCTGGAAAAACTAAACTAACTAATGCAGACATTCCAATTACACTCATGTCTCACCTTAATGAGGTCTCCCAGTAGTTTGTTGGCTTCAGCATAGGCTTTCTTCACCTCCTTGAACTTATTTCCCAGTCCCATACTGTGAGCCTGCAATAAACCATAGTAAAACAACAGTATGAATTCATTCATTCATTCATTTCATTATTTCCTACTTAAGAAAAAAAATCCAGGCCTTCTGGGCAACTCCGTGTCAACCTCTGATTTAAGGCTATAATTTGTGTAGTGACACCCACAGCTTTTAAATTTATGGCTGAAGATTCTCATGTAGCAAAGGCCACATAGGCCAATACCATTTACTGTAAACTGAAATTTATTTGTGTAACACTTGATGATAAAACAGGCCAAAAGGGGGCTCTGGGATATGCACAGCACTGGGAAATCAGTCACTCAGTGCAATGTCAACTCTCCTCTTGTGCTAAATAAGCTGTTCAAGCAACATTTCTATTCCATGTTTCTAAAACAGTGACTCTGAAGGCTGGTTCTTGCGTTTCACATTTCTTGCATCTTCAGTCTTGGAGTTACATGCAACAGTAAATATCAGTGTAAGGTTACACTGAGCTAATCCTGTGCTTACATCCTCTTAGCTGCAACCACCACCTGTAATGCTCCATCCCATTGTAGCAGAGCTTTGTGAAGTGCATTTTAACAATCAATTGCTGCCAAAATAAATTAATAAGAAAAAAAAAGATGACCAGAATAACCCACTGTACCTGGAAGTGAAGGTTGGTGTATTGCCCTCCAGGTATCTCGTTCTCGTACACATCGGCGTTGCCAGATTTCATGGTGGCAGTGCAGTCGAAGGGAGCATACAGGCCTCTGGCTACTTCCCAGTATTCACTGTAGTCAAACACCTTCTCCAGAGCAATGCCTGAGACAGAGCAGATCAATGGTCACCATGCACATTTTCTTTTAACTACACAATGCCTAGAGTAATTTCAAATTTTAATGTTTTTGTGATATTTTGAGCAAACATGATTTTGATGACAGCTTCTGTTTTCAGAATATAAATATCAAGAATGGAATATGGGGAGAAATTCTTTATTAAGTTGAATTATTGATGGGTTCATTACAATTATGCTTTAAAGATGGAATTAATGCTATATTTACTATAAATACAGTAGAACAGTTTTGGAAGCTTGTGTGGCAACCCACCACTTATCTGAATTAGTCATCTCAAAGCGTGTGCCAGCTACCAGACTCTGGCAGTACTTGATTTATGCTGTTATTTTGATATATGAAAATGTAAACATGATGTGAAACTTGTCACAGTTTCGACAGTGTGCCGAGTTCTTTTTAAGCACACAGGCCTTTGTCTCCAAGAACAGGTCCAACCTATCAGTTAGGTTTGGATGCGTCTCCAACCACACGGTAGCACGGTGGTTTTGATGATTTACTATACACATCTCAAACTAGTTCAGC